CTTAAAAATATTACTGAGGAAATACATATTAATTGTAGAAAAAAATACACATATTTTGAAAGTGAAAATACACATATTTTGGGTGAAAATACACCCGGAAATAGCTACTGTTCGCAAAATTATCCATCTCAATTGTTTATACATATGTCACTAGAAGAACACAGTGCTTACACACCCAGGGCCTTCCCTTTACCAGAAGAAGAATGAGTTTGTCAACTGCTGGCTTCCTCTTTACATAGAAGGTGGTGGGAGAGGAAGTCCTGCAGAAGAGAGACTGCACTGCTCAGGTTTGGTCAGGCGTGGGAACCACCGGGATGTGAATCCCTGCTCTACCACTGAATACCTGTGTCACCTTGTGTGCCTTAGTGTCCTCATATCAAGGATGAGGATTATTCGTGTGTAGCAGCAGTGTCTGGCACATGGCAAGTGCTCAATAATTTTGTTATTGCTGTTGTTATGAATTTCAGCTAGCCTAATATGATAAAAGAAGATGGTAATTTCACGACACCTGCCAGTTCTCTGAGTTGCTGGCATGTGTGTGCATCTTTCACCCACATATAGGCCTCTGGGCATGTGTGCGCATGTGTCTGCATGTGTAAAGAGGTGCACTGGAAAGGATTAAAGGAGTGCTTTCTTTGAAAAGAAGGAACGAAGGGTGGATTTCAAGACAAGAAAGGAAGATGAGGATCCCTGTAGAATAGTGCTGTTGTTTTTTTCCTTGGACTTTGGGAACCATCACATTTAGTATCCAGTTTTAGGGTCCCTCACCATGTTGTAGTTCCCTCTAGTTATCCCCCAAGCCTTCAGTAAATCCCTTACACCGAGCTCTCTATGTTAGGGGAATAAAAGATCTGGGCAGGAAAAGGTCGCACACGCAGCTTCTTGGACTCCCATTCTCCCTCTACTCCCTGTTGTTACTGCCATGCTGCCGGGAAGGCTCCCCTCTCTGTGATATTTAGGCCAACACACCAAGAACAATATTCGACAGTATTTGAATTTCATCTTCTATGATTCAAGAAAAACAACATTGCTACACCCTTCTTTCAGAAACTGTAGCCCTCCCATTTTTCTCCCACCTCCAACTTAGGTGTCTAGTCACCAACAACTTCTTTCCTCTCAAGTATAAAATTCTTTTAAAATGATTTCTAATCCCTTTATCCTTATTATTCCCAGGGTTAGTTTGCTTCTTAAATGACATTTTGTTAATCTTAAAAGGCAAATCAGCTCAGCTAAATTTTGAAAGCAAAAATCAGACCCCCACTTTTCTTCCTGTCGTAGATTTATGTGCAAAGATGACCACTGGCAATCCTATTCATGAGGGCTTTGCCCTCATCACCTAATCACCCAAAGTCCGCAACTCCTAACACCATCACCTTGGGGGTTAGGATTTCCACATGAACTTGAGGGAACACAAACATTCAGGCCATAGCACCAGTCAACACCAAGTGGAGCAGAACAACCACCCAGCTGATCTAAGCCAATCCATGGAATCATAAGAGGTAATAACCGCCAAAGCCCATTTCTTAACACATCGAAATTACAGGCTTTACTCTATATGTGATTATACCTAAAACCCCCTTCAACATTTGCCTTGGGAGCAAGGGTGGACGGGTCTCTTGACACTTCGATAGGGAAAATAAAATGTCTTGATGCTCAGCAGGGGTGGGGAAGGTGGCCCTTATTAAAAGTAAGCAAAATTGAAAGAGGCTATTTGAAAAGAAGATTCTGACAAAATACATTTGAAAAGAGGTCAAATATAGATTTTAAAAGAAAGGGAGTAATGGTATTTGTTCGGAAAAACAAAGGAAAGTATGACATACTAAATGTGATGGTTCCCAAAGTCCTATGGGGAAACTATATTAGAAAATAATCTGGTTTTATCAACAACAAGAAATAAAAGAAAAATTTAAATGACAGCAAAACAACAGATTAAAGAGATTTAAGATCCCTATAAAACAAGTACAACACATTGACCATCATTCAAATCCTGATTCAAACTGTACTAAAAAAAGAAAAAAAAAAAGACATTCAGAGAAATGTAAACACTAACTGGGTATTTAATAATATCAAGGAAGTGTTATTAAAATGTTTTTACATGTGATAAGGTATTGTGGTGATGTTTATAAAATAATTCTTACTTTTTAGAAAAATATACAGAGATATTTTTTCAGATTAAATTACATGATGCCTGGGATTGTTTTAAAAATAATCTGGGTAGGGGAAAATGTAGGGTCTAGATGAAATATGATTATCCATATTTTGATAGTTGTTAAATCTGGGTGATGGGGACATTGGCTTCATTATATTATTCTCTCTGATTTTGTACATGTTTGAAATTTTCCATAATAAAGCTTTAAAAATACTTTTACAAATTGTCCCTACAGTATTCTCTATAATATTTGGAAATATTTGGAAACAAACCAGATGTCCACAATATGAAAACAGTCAAAATAAATGTAGTATATTTGTATAATGAAACAATAGAGACAGTCATTCCCAACCTTTTTGATCTTAGAAACTTTACACTCTTAAATTATTGAGACCCCAAAAGTTTTTATGTAGGCTGTAGCTATTTATATTTGCTGTATGATTGAAACCAACAAATTTTAAAATGTCTATTAATAATTTTAAAATACCAATAATAAGCCCATAAAAATGTATTAGAATGTGGGACATGCAATGTTTTGCATTTATAGGATACTTTCAACTGCAAGTAATAGAAAATACGACTAACAATAGTTTAAATAACAAGAGGTTTATCATCTCACATGACAAGAAGCCTGAAGGTAACATGGCTCCAGGGTTGGTCACCAGGGTCCAGTGACATCATCGAGGGTCAAGGTTCTTTTTATCTTTCCACTCTGCCACCTCTGTCAGTAGGCCCCCTTGCAGGTATGAATTAACTATCAAAGCTCTAAGCATCACACAAATATCAGAGGCAGAAAAATGGGACCATCTGGGGTTCGACATAAAATATTAAACACTGTGGCTCTTGTTTCATGTAAAACACCATAGGCAACATTACAGGGCTGACCATCAGAATGAACTCTCTCTCTCCCTGAGGCTTCCCCTGAGCCCTGGAAGGGATACCAGCAATCCATCTGGATGCTCAAACTAGTAAGTATTATCCGAATGGGATATTAGGATTTTACTCAAGAAAAACACCTCAGATTGAAGGGATAAACCAATTATTTTTTTATTTACTGCCTATTTTTGCATTTATGCAAACATTTTCATCTATAGCTTCTATTTATTCAAAGGTTATAGTTAAAGCACCAACTTGGAACGTCAATTCTACCACTTGTTGCCAGGTGTTTTATATGTATTGGGCTCATTTAATCCTCACAACAACTCTGAGTTAGGCATTATTATTACAGTCCCCACTTTCCAGGTGAAGAAACTGAGGCATCAAGAGGTTTTTGTGGATTTCCCAACTCACACACCCTGCATATGGAGCTAGGATTCAAATCCTAGCGGTCTGGCTCTGAAGTCTTTGCTTTCAACTATATGCTTACCTCTACATGGTTTTAGAAAAATATGATCAAGTACATGAGTCGAAAATTTAAGGCTAATTGGTAGAGGTATACAGAGTGTATAATTTTTGAAACAATAGAAGAAAATAACCAAATAAAACTCAATCAACCCAGCAAAAGGCCAATATAGGGGTAAACGGGAGGAATCTTTTCTCTCTGACTGATAAGTAAGCACCATCATAAATGACAGAGCAAATATCTGGACCAGGAAGTTGATGACAAATCTACCACTTCAAAAGTCATCGATGTCCTTCACCCTGGGAAAGCAACAGTACCTAAGACATTAATTCTGCAAATCTAACACATATGTGCAAAACCACAGATGTCATCTTTGTCTTTAGATTCAGACCCAGCTTGGCATGGCTTCGGCATGATCCATTATTTCTAGGATTACACAAAGAAAAATAAACTCACAGATTCGCAGATGGTCTATATTAAAGGAGAAATCCCTCAAGAACACAGCAAAAGGATTATAAGAATAGATGAAGCAAGTCAAGGGGTGGGAAAACCAATGTTAGAGCTAGCAACAAAGGATTAAAGGGACAGCCATGCCTTGATTTGTGGAAATTGTGGAGATGTTTCACTAGAGGATTAATAAACTATAAAAACTTAACAAAAAGTGGTGCATGTGATGGTGAGAAACAAGGAGAAAGGACAGTAAAATTTAAAATGTACCCAACTAGTCTAACACTGAACTCTTTGTCTTACCTAACAAGTGTGTTAGGTAAGTGAGCCCCTGAGCTCAGAGTTTATCATTCACCTGATTCCTAACAGAGAATACTCACATGTTGCTCATGCGCATAAACTTGCCTTCCTGGGAGGCCTCCAAGAACTGAAGACTTTTGCTGCTATGCATTGCTGGCGCTACCACTCTTGCATTGAGCCCCTGATGTCAGAAAATGTCCCAAGCCACCATTCCTGATTTGAAGAAGGAATCCCAGTACATCACAACAGGGCACCTTCCTGTGGTCCTCAAACAGAGTACTGCATTACATCTGTGAGATACCTCAGTGGTTATTCATCAGCACAGCAGATTACACACAGCCTCAGGAGGGCTGGGTCAGGATCATTCAGCGTATCTAGAACCACCATGTCTTACTTTCTCTCCAGTGAGCACCTCCTTCCCCCTAAAATTAGGCAGTTTATTTGTTTGTTTGTATCAAGACAAAGTCTTGCTATGCGTTTTTCCTAGAATATTCAGAACTCCTTAGTGTTTGCCTACCTTTTTAAGGCTTATCTCTGTCATTCTCTATTCCAGCCTATGAAAGGAAAAACACAAAGTACCAAACCCTATATACGTGTATACTATATTTTTTCCTATACATAAATACCTGTGATAAAGTTTAATTTATAAATTGGGCATAGTAGACATTAACAACAATAACTAATAAAGTAGAACAATTATAACAATATACTATAATAAGCTATGTGAATGTGGTCTCTCTCAAAATATTGTACAGTACTCACCCTTTTTCTTGTGATGATGTGAGATGATAAAATATCTACATGAGGAGATGAAGTGGAGTACTCAGGATGGCACACAATTTAAAACTTATAAACTGTTTATTTCTGGAATTTTCCATTTCATATTTGCAGGTAACTGAAACCAAGGAAAGGGAAAACATGGATAAGGGGCGCTTCCATAATTGATTCAAGAAAGAATCATCAGTGGGTGCTATTACCAGTGAATAAAAATGGGATGAGGACCTAGATATTTGTATAATTTCAAAGAATCTCCACATTAAAAATGTATTAAATACAAAGAAGAAAAGTAACTTCATAATGGAGAAAATTAGAAGACATCATCTTAACCAAGTGATCAAATTTAACACCCCCGATAAGGTACAAATTGACATTGTGTGTCACTCAATAAGATATGAGGGAGGATTCATTGGACAAACGCAAATTGGGGAACAGCTGACAAAATGACTCTTATAATAAAAAATGTTCAGGGCATGAAACTTAAAGACTTAGAAACTGTCTGAGATTTAAACAGACTGTAGAGACCAGACAACTATGTGCAATGCATGAACCTAGATTGGATGCTTTAAGGGTAACATAAAGAACCTAAGTGGAACAATCCACAAAACTTGAATGTGGTTTCTGAAAATATGGGAATTCTCTGTGCTATGCTTGCAAGTTTTCTGTAAATTTGGAATTGTTTCAAAATAAAATGGTTTTTTTTTTGGGGGGGGTGGTAGATGAGGGTAAAGGGGATCAAATATATGGTGACAGAAGGAGAACTAACTCTGGGTAGTGAACACACAACGTGATATACAGATGATGTATTACAGAATTGTACACCTGAAACCTATGTAACTTTACTAACAATTGTCACCCCAATAAACTTTAATTTAAAATAAATAAATTTTAAAAAAATATTAAATCAATTGGTTTTAGAAATCATTTTTTAAAATACATTTACTGTCTTGGCCAGAATTCCTCAGAACTTGTTTGAATTTGTTGAGATTTTTTGCTTGCAAGTAACAGAAAATCCAACTCAACTGTCTGAAACAATAAGAAAAATGCATTTTCTCACACAAATGACCTGAGTTAGTTTAGCCAAAGGGTTAACCACCAGCCTGATTTGCATTAAATTGTTTCCCTCTTCCATTTCTGTGTAGCAGCTTTATCCTTTACTCTTGTTCCTCCCCATGATTGCAGTATGGTTTCAGCAGCTCAAAGCAGAATGTTCTGAAATTACAATGTCCAAAGGCCTGAAAGAGGAAAAGAGTATATATATATCCCTTACTCATGACTATTTTGAAACATCAGGGAAAATTTCCCACAAGCACTACAACAGACTTTTTCTCACCTCTCATTACCCATAATCGCATGTTCATTCTTAAGTGAATCACTGGCAAGGGAATTTGAATGACCATTACTAGCTTGGACTAATCAAAATTCATCTTCTGAGGGTAGCAAAGGGCCAGCTTCCCTTAAAAGCATCTGACCACTTAATACCTGAACAAAACTGGAATTCTATCAGCAAAGAAGGAAGAGTATGGCTGCTGGGTAAGCAATAAACATGATCTGCCACACAGTGGGCTTGAATTAATTGAATAATCCTTAAAGGCTGCTTTAAATATCTCTATTTTCAAGTATATAGGAAATGTATATGGATACATTACATATAGTGGGCCTATGAATGTACTTCACAACATTCAGGTATTTGCTTTTCTAAATCCATTTATAATAAGGTCAAGTTTCCACTCAGCCCCCTCACCTCTTTGATTCACATAGAGAGCCCTGACATGTAATCCATTTGTCTAGTCATTGGCCTTCTTCCCAATCTCAACATACGAGTACACTGAGATGTATTCACATCTTCATCTGATCAGCTGTGTGGTGACCAAGATCTAGTTTTAAGGGAGTGGGAAAAAAGGGTGATAAGATGAACAAAGGGATTGTGGGGACAACCCCCAATCCCAGATTATAGAGGAATTCATCCATCTTTTCTTATAGTACTTGTATGATTTAATTCTTTAAAGTAGCTCTCAGAGCCATTGGGATTTTATCCTTATAAATATAGGGGGCCAGGTATATTCAAAATCTATCATTTTCAAAATATTCAGTTGTCCTAAAGCTATTTATTAAAAAGTCTGTCTCTCCCAGTGGCTTAGATCCCACTTTTGCCATATACTAAATGTCTTCATTTGCTAGACTTTGTATCTGGATTTTCTATTATATTCTAGTGATCTACACACAATTTTAATTATAGAGGCTTTTATAGTATGCTTTCTTATCCCTACACACCAAACTACATTTCTTTTTCAAGATTTTCCTAGCTCTTCTTGCATATTTATTTTTCCATATGAACTTTATAATCAACCCATCTAGTTCTAGGGGAAAAAAATTAGTATTTTTATTGGGATCACATTAAATATGTATACTTGGGGAAAATTAACAACTTTATAATACTGAGTTATCCTATCCATAAACAAAGGTTACTTTTATATATGTTCAAGTAAAAAGCAAATATTAATGAAATAGAAAACAAAGATATAATAGATAATAGTTTAACAGGAAATGACAAGTCCACACTGATTAGTCTGTAAAAAAGGTTTTATTGCTGTAGTATTATCACAGAAGATAGTCAAACAAGTTAAATTTACCTCTGTCCAGGCTCTCTGACTGCTGTCTGTACAATGCACAGTTTTATATATACAATGTGGGTTTCACAGTGTTATATATTACACAAGTTTGTTGAATGTTAAACAATTTTGCAATAGAAAACATTTGCAATATAAAACAAATTTTAAAAAAGGAGAAACAGCCTGTCTGAAAATAGCTTGGTGGTTAGCTGATCTTTGACAAGCATTTTTTGTAAAAAGCTTGGTATGCAAGTCTGGGACAATATGGGTATTTATAAACTAACTACAATATAGTTTTGCCAGCAGGGCTTTAAAATAAAAAAGCCCTCTGGGCTAAATTTAAGGAAATTCCATGAAATAGGAATAAGAAAAAAATTATTTTTCATGTTAGCAAAAGTAGTCTGTAACCAGTCTCATGCATTTTATAAGGGTCTGTATTGATCTACAAACAGTGGTTTGTAGCGGGTAGGGAGTTGGGAGGAAGTGTAAAGCTTTTACATAATTTAAACTATCGTTTCCTTGCACTTTTAGCGCCACCTTATGGAAATGTTCTGGTGTCAGAATCCATGCTTTCCTGATTTTTTTTTTTTAATGCTTTTGAGCATTTCTGGCTAAGTTTTACTAATAAAGATATCATGTCACATAGCAGTATGGCTCTCAACCTGTCTGCAGAAGAGAGTCATCTGGTGACCTTTTAAAAATACCAACACTCCAGAAACACTGTCAGAGAGGTTTTAATACTGATTCTTTGGACAAAGCTAGATGTCATTTAACAAATTATTCAGCTCCATTACTTACTGAGAAAAAAAAGTCAGTTTTCTTCCCTGGCTGTATGACTACACACACTCACACTATCATATGACTACTTACGGTTAGGAATGAATTCATTTTAGAATTCATTGCTATAGTTTTACTTTCTCTTAATTAAAAAAAAAAATCTTCATTTTAATGGTCAATAGCTTCCGGTTGGCTTGTTTTTTTTAATTTGGGGAAATATATTAACCACAGACACACACATAGAATCTAAAACAATAAACTACCACTCAAAACTAAAAAATGTTTGTTTCAAATATTTATATATACATATGTGAATACTATATATATATATATATATATGTATATATATATATATATATATATGTTATACGGTTGACCCTTGAACAACATAGGTTTGAACTGCACAGGTCCACTTACACACAATTTTTTTTCAGTAAATACAGTAAATGTATTTTCTCTTCCTTACGATTTTCTTAATGTTTTTTTCTATAGTTTGCTTTACTGTAACAATGATATATAAACATATAACATACAAAATATGTATTAATTGACTTTGTTATCAGTAAGGCTTCCAGTCAACAGTAGGCTATTAGTAGTTATGTTTTTGGCGAGTCCAAAGTTATATGCGCATTTCTGACTGTGCAGGGGGTTGGCGCCCCTAACTGCCACACTGTTCAAGGGTCAACTGTATATAAAATACTCCTATTAGAGCATAAGAGTTGGTTGGGGAGTCAAGACCAACAAAAAAATCAATGAGAACATCTGACTATTAAACTGTGGCAATGTCATTAGTGCAATATAATTCAGAGAAAGACCAGTGAATTCATGAAGGAGGTGAGATTTTTAGCAAGGACTTGAAGCCAGGGGAATATTTCAATAGGCAGAAAAACAAAATGAGAGCAACCTAGGTGGGAAAACAACATGAGCCAAGGCCAAAAATGGGAATGAGCACAACAGTTATTTCTAAAAGTCTTTCATGTGGCGTAATAATAATACCTAATACATCAGGAACTATTCTAAGTGCTTTATATGTATGTATTACCTTGTTTAACATAGCAACAGTCATCAAGAGCACACTGCTCAGATCATTCTTTTCTGTTGCCCTTAGACAAGACAAATTGCCATCTCTGGGTCTTAGTTACTCCATCTGTAAAAAAAAAAAAGCAGATAATATTGTTCTGTGCATGGATATGGATAAACACAAGAGACTAAATAGCAAATAATATACCTGTTAAGACAAATTGGTGGATAAATGGTAATACTGTGCTTGATTTTTTGAGGAACTACCAGATGGCTTTCCAAAGTGGTTGAGCCATTTTACATTCTAACCAGCAGTGTGCGAGGATTCCAATTTCACCACATTCTTGATAACACATTATTAGGCTTTTTGGTTATAGTCATTCTAATGGGTGTGAAGTGGTATCTCACTGTGGTTTTAATTTGCATTTCCCTGATGGTTAATGATGTTGAGCATCTTTTCAGGTGTTATTGGCTATTTGTATAGGTAGCATCTTTGGAGAAAAGTTTATTCAAATCCTCTACAATTTTAAAAACTGGGTTTTCTTTTAGTGTTGACTTATATTCTGGATATAAGTACCTTGTCAGACATGATTTGTAAACATTTTCTCCCATTCTGTAGGTTGTCTTTTCACTTTCTTGTATCTGTTGAAGTACAAACGTTTTTAATTTTGGTAAAGTCCCAATTTATTTTTTTCTTTTGTTGCTTGTGCTTTTAGTGTCATATTTAAGTATCCATTGCCAAATCCGAGGTCATGAAGGGTTAGCCCTGTGTTTTCTTCTAAGAGTTTTATAGTTTGTGCTTACGTTTAGGTCTTTGATCCATTTTGAGTCAATTTTTTGTACATGGTGTGAGGTAAGGGTCCGATTTCATTCTTTTGCATGAGGCAGGCTATCCAGCTGTCCCAGCATCATTTGTAGAAAAGACTATTCTATTTCCATTGAATGATCTTGGCAATATTGTTGAAAATCAGTTGGGCATAAATAAATGGGTTTATTTCTGGGATCCCAATTCTGTTCCATTGATTTATGTCAATTCTTATGTTAGTACTGCACTGTCTTGATTATTGTAGCTTTGTAGTTAAGATTTGAAATCAGAAATATTAATCCTCTTTGTTCTTTTTCAAAATTGTTTTGGCTATTCTGGGTCCCTTGAGTTCCCATATGAATTTTAGGATCAGCTTGCCAATTTCTGCAAAGAAGCCAGCTGGGATTCTGATAGGAATCATGGTTAATCTATAAATCAAGTTGAGAAGTATTACCATCTTAACAATATCTTAACAATATCAAGTCTTTTTTTTTAAAAAGATTTTATTGGGGAATTGGGGGGAGGGTAATAGCGTTGGGGAATCAAGGAAGGGGAACAGACAGGTAGACAAATTGCTGTTTTGTTCTTCAGTCTAGTTGTGGAGGACATCGCTTCACTGGCCCATGTTGGTATGATCACTGTGCTTTTCCTGGGTGAGGCTCACTGGTTGTTGGTCGGCCGCTCACAGCGGCTCATGGTAACTCACAGCCCACTGCAGCCCTGCTGCAGCCTACGCCGTCGCTGGCGACTCACAGCAGCCCAGCTCCAGGTGGAGCTGTTCATCATCTTAGCTGTAGAGGGCCAAGCATCACTAGCCCTCAATGTGGGATCCGAACCGCAGCCCTGCTACTCAGAGCTGGTGCTCCCAAGCGAGCTCTTAACCAGCTGAGCCACTCGGCCGGCCCTCAAGTCTTCTGATCCATGAACATGGGATAGTGTTTCCATTTATTTAAGTCTTCTTTAATTTCTTTCAATGATATTTTTGCAGTTTTCAGAGAAAATGTTTTTCATTTCTTTTCTTAAATTTATTCTTAAGTATTTTTTTCTTTTGATGCTACTGTAAAGGAAACTGTTTTCTTAATTTCACTTGTAGATTTTTCATTGCTAGTACATAGAAATAAATTGATTTTTGTATATTGATCTTATATCTTGAAATCTTGATGAACTTAACTATAGTTCTAATATTTTAGTGGATTTCTTAGGGTTTTCTATATACAAGATCATGTCATCTATGAATACAGTTTTACTTCTTTTCCAATTAGAATGCATTTAATTTCATTTTCTGGCATGGGAGACAAATTGCAAACGAACAAAAAAATATCATAGTAATAATGTCACATTTGTACAGAAATAAAATATGATAAGAGTGACTTGGATAGCTACTTTAGATTGAGTACATGGAAATATCTACTGTGAGGAAATGACATCTAACCTAAAATCTGAATTATGAGTCTTTTAGACTGCAAACAGCTAATGTGAAGGTACTTAAAAGTGGGAATGAGCTTACTTATTGGGGGAACAGGTAAGCTAATGAGACCAAAATGTAATCAACAAGAGGGGAAAGGAGGCCTGAGAGGCAGCCAGGGGTTAGGCTGTGTAGTACTTTGTAAACCTGAGCAAAGGAGGTTGGATTTTATTCTAGGTTTGATGGAGTGCTACTAGAGTGTTAGGCAGGGGAGTGAAGTGATCTGATTCACATTTCAAAATCACTACAGTTGCTTTGTGGATAACAGGTTGGAGTGGAAGCTGGGGAATCACTTTAGGAGTCTTTTGTAGCACTTCATGTAGAAGATATTAATGACTGGAGTGATGATAACAAAGATGGAGAAGCAAATGGATGTGGAGTATGTATGGGACTTGTTAATGAACTGAATGTGGGGAGTGAATTAAAAAAGAGAATAAGGAATAATTTCTAGATATTTGGCCTGTGCACTTAGGTGGGCACTAGTGCCATTTACTAAATGGGGGAAGACTGGGCTTGAACAGCAGGGAGTTGTAGGGGTGTTGGGGAGATATCACAAGTCGTTTTGGTTAATGTTTAACTGGAGATACTGACTGGTATTCCTGGTACAAATGTCAAGTAGGTAGTTGGATAAACAAGACTGGAACTACAGGAAGTGAACTGGGTCACCTGTTTTCAGCTTGAAGGAACTGCCAGTGAGTCAGGAGAAATGTTTCAGGCAATCCAAGGTAAAATTGTTTCAAGAAGGTGCTGGAATGTGCTGCTAGGCCCAGATTCCAATCCCAGTGTGTGGGTTACTTTACTTCTTTGAACTTCCTTCTCCACCTATAAATTGGGGGTAATATCTGCTTTGGGGGGGTTATTGTGAGACTAAAGGAGATATGGCATATAAGACATCATGCACCATCCTCGGCATATACATTTAGCAACTACTATTCTACACCCCTTCTAGTTTAATCAGACTGGCCTTATCACAGACAAGGAATAAGAGACACACTAGCTGCATTTTCTCAAGGAAAGATACATATACCTTGGCTGGAGGGCTGCTATAAGACTTGGTCTTCTTCAGTAAACCTCTTTGAAAACAACACAAGTCAGGAAATAGTTTTCCTACCTAGCTCCTTCTATAAATGCAGATGACTCTGCCTAAATAAGGCAAGACATTTAGTATAGTAAAGTAACAAACGGTGCTGTAACAACCACCAAAGTATTAGGTGCCTCTTTTCTTTCTTGCATTAAATATGCACAAATATACATAAGTCTTAGCAACTCAAGTTATAGGAAGAGGGATATCAAACTGTCATCTTAAAGAATTTAAGTCAACTTTCAATATTAAAATAACAATGCAACAACAGTAATAGTTAACATTTATGAAGGGCTTACTACTAGCCAGAAAGTATTGAGCTAATTGTCCTATATCTGTGTCGTTTAATCCCTCAACAATCCTATAAGGATGGGAGTAATATCTTCATATCCTCTTCTCCAGTAGATCAGCTTTAAATGAGAGGAAAGTTAACCGAGTAGAATTGGACTGGCCAGGTATCCCAGTGCCTTCTAACTGAAAGGTGTGAGAAGGTGCGATTCATAATAGTTCCTCAATGAATAAAGGTTGGCTAAAGAATTAATTCCAGGTATTGAAGATGAAAGGTATTTTTTTTGTTTGTTTTTATATTAAAATTTGCCTTCAGCAGATTAGCATGACTGGGCTTCAGCCTCAGCTTCCAAAGCAACTAGCACATCTCACAGTACATTTGGAAGAAGGAAAACAAACAAAATGATGCAACAGGGTGGAATCAATTTTTCCAGGACCCATCAGCTCCAAGTCAAGCAGCTGTCTCCAATCTAGCTGTGGAGGGTGCAGCTCTGCAACCCATGTGGGAATCGAACCAGCAACCCAGGTGCTATGAGCCTGCACTCTAACTACCTGAGGCTGCCCCAGATAATCTTTTTTGCAGTATTTTATCCCTTAAATATTTTACTCAATCTTTACCAGGATAATCTCATTTTTAAAAACAATCTTTACATTTACAAAATTTACCTTGTCCTTAAAAACAGTGATCTAGAGCCCATCCTGACCTTTCTGAAAAGATGGAATGATTCAGATCAAGGGACTTTTCAAGCTACTTTGTCATTAACGTTTATTTCAATTGAATAAATGTGAATTCAGAATTAATTAATAATGTAAGGTAAAACCTCAGAGTATTTGGCAAAAGAAATGCTATTCAGAGTGTGATTAAGTTTGTAGTACCTGTGTTATTACTACAGACATTAACAAAATAAAAAGCACATTCTGAAGAGAATCAAATTCTGACAAATTCTGGTTTGCAAAAATCAATTCAGTGGTACAGTCCCCCCAGGGGAGAAGCAATTTGCCTTGTTACCATCAGTTAAAAATCTTCTGGTAGTGACCATCACAGCACTATACATAACACGTACAAACCTACTTCCTTTTAATCAGAGAATATAGTCAACTAAACAAGACCCTGGTATTTACTATAAAACATTTCATTTTGAAAATAAAAATTTTATAATCTATTTCAAAAATATCAATTGAAAAATATATAAACTGCAACAAAGTTTCCAAACAGAAGTTCAAAACCTTGGCTAAGCCAAACATGTAACATCAAATAACAACTAGCTTAATTTATCAACTAAAACATTCACTAAAAATAATGATTTCTGTACATGTATACTGAGTGTTAACACTTCAAAATTTCGATATAAATTGCTGTTCTGTCACATATTATCAAAGTCTGTTCCCTAAATAATTTGAAGAAATTTCAATTATAAGGCAAATAAAGACTAAAATTAGAAACAGTGCATCTTAAAGTTTTCAGAGACCTATATATAAATAATTTCCAAACACATAATTTTTTATATGCTTATGGTTTGGAACAAATTTTCCCTGAGCACGCTTTCTGCTTGGTTAGAAAAATTAAAACATGATTTATAGACTAGAATTTTATTTTGATTTTGCTTGAATATATGCAATTTTTCATCCATCTAATGTATTTAATCTTACCTCCTAGATATCTCTAAAGTAATAACTAATTATAACTGTTTTAAAGGGCTGTTTGAATGGCTATAGAAATATAGGTGGGTTTTAGAGCCCTGAGAACCATACAGTGGATGTCTCATACAACTGAAATGACTTACTATCATAATTATCAAAGGTTATTTTAACAAATTCAGAATGGCACTAGCTTCACAGAGGTAAGAGGTAATAATCAGGAATTTCAGCTCAGATGACTAAAAGATAAACATTAAAAATCAAAAGAAAAATAAGCTGGATTAACATTGTGCTCCCCACGGAATAACACTGAATAAAATTAACCCTTCTCCCCAACACAGGAAATACCTCACCATGAAACTTTATTTAATGCAGTCTTGAGATCTGTCACTTCTTAATATTCATGCAAACTTAAAATTAGCATCACTGGGAATTTCAGCACACAAATTGTGGTTCTGAAGGCTGTCCCAAGGTTTATAGCCCAAAAGACATACTACAATCAGTGCACATGCATGGTACCACTACTAGATGTTCCCCTAGTTTTTTAAGGTCTTAAAATTCCTAGCTACTTGAGAGTTTAGGCCTCTTCTCTTTCAAATAAATAAGTTAAGGATAACAAATATTAGGAGTCTTACTAATGCCAATGTGTAAATACTAATTTTCTACATAGCCTAGCATCACACTAAAGGAAAATTAGATTTCAGAAATTTTATATTTACAATTAGATTTCATAGGCCTAACTATGCACTTCCCTTAGTATTATAATTTATGTGGCTTGCAATAATAATTAATAAAGAACTTAAAACATTTAGAAGTCATCGTTCTGAAGATCTTCAAGAAGTGAGCAATTTCTGATGTCCGGAGGTGTGTCTTCTGTCTTTTTAGTTATATGCGAAGGTGCTTTATGCAGGACGCCCTGGGCCCAAACGGCTTTTAGACCTAGATTTTTTAAACAGAAAACAAGGTCAGAGGTGCTGCTAAAATGATAGGAAGTTGCTGCTGCTTTAGATTATGCTTGTTATCTTTTTTTTGGTTTTGTTTTTTTTAGCTGAGTCATCCTGCCACCTGTTGGCAGCTAAGCGGCAGCTCAGCTCGGGCTGGGAATCGAACCTCTGTTGCTCAGAGCTCGCACTCTTGAGCGATAGGTTATTCTTGCTTGACAGAATCAAAGTTTAATGAACTTCATGTAGCTCCATAATCCATTTTTAAAAATACTTGGAGTAAGATGTATTTTGGAATTCAGGTATTTTTTGATTTGAGGTAGATAATATGGTACATATATCATATATTATGGATCTGGATCAGTGCCCCATAATCAAACACATTAATGTTTCTTTAGCGAAACAAATGAATGTTTACATTAAGCAGGATAAAAACTATAAATAGCATCATAGTAACAGTTAAGGTTTGAACTGACACAGATGTATAAAAAAAGTCTTGTGGATTTCTGAGTTTTCTGGATTTCAGAATTATAGATAAGGTATTTGGATCTGTAGTATTAATGATGATATCTCAGCAACTTAATCTTTAAAAGAAAATTTGTGACATAAAATGACACAGGACCCACAAGTTAGATTGTATTAAGAGAAATAAAACAAGGAACAAAATAGACTTCAATGATTTATATAAAGTATAAATCATATATAAACAGTATAAAAATTCTGTTAATTCACAGTAGCACTATCGCTTACCTTTTAATCAGCAGTTGGGTCAGAACAGAGCTGAATCAATAAACAAAAAACTTTTTAAAAATTTATACTTTTATTAAATTTTGTGTTTATGACCTTTTCAAGTCTTAACTTTTAAGTTAAAATCTGGTTCTTACTGAAGTCTTGATCTAATCCTTGAAATAAAACAAAACCAAACTCAAATTATTTGCTTCTACTGTCATATGATTAAAAAAAAAATCACTTTAAAGTCAACAGCATTCTGAATTTGTTTATACTGATTTACCTTGTGTTTTTCTCTGAGCTGCCTTGCCGTGCACTGACTGGCACTGAGGCCTTGATTTGTGCTTCGAGCCTGGAATAAATACCTCCTGCAAACTGCAGAGTAAAGGAGTAAAATTCAATTATCTTTCCAGAATCAAGAGAAGTTGTGCTTTATTAAAACGGCATTACTTTTTTTTTTAATTAACCTGTTTTTATTTATTTATTTATTTTTATTATTAGTTTCAGGTGTACAAAACAATGTAATAGTTAGACATTTCATCCCTCACAAAGTGATAACTCCCCTCCCTCAAAATGGCATTACTTTTTAACTTTGAAGTAATTTTATTTGGATTTTTAAAATTCAGGCAATTGACTTATAATTTACATGTATAATTTTACATACATTAAAATTCACTGTTTTCAGTAAATATTTCTGAGTTTTGACAAATGCATACAGTTGAGTAACCACTGTTACAATGGAGACATAGAATAGTTCCATTACCCCAAGAAAATCTCCTTGTGTGTTTTAAGTCAACCGATTTGACACTACCAATATTTGGCAACCATTGATCTATTTTATTATTTTATGTCCCTACAGTTTTGCATTTTCCAGAACATTATATAAATAGAATCATACAGTCTGTAGCTTTTTTTTTTTTTTAAAGGCCTCACATGAACCCTCCAGTGCAGTCTTGGGGTGAGGGTTCTGAGGAGGCTTTTTTTTTTTTTTAAAGACTTTTTATTGGGGAATTGGGGGAGGAGAACAGCATTGGGGAATTGGGGAAGGGGAACAGACAAGTTGCTGTCCTTTTGTTCTTCAATCTAGTTGTGGAGGACGTCGCCTCACTGGCCATGTTGGTATTATCTTTGCGCTCTTCCCGTGTGAGGCAAATCAGTCGCTCATGGTAGCTTACCAGAGCCCACTGCAGCTCTACTGCAGCCTCCGCCATCTTCAGCGACTCATGGCAGCCCAGCTCCAGGTCGAGCTATTGTTCACCATCTTAACTGTAGAGGGCGCAGCGTCACTGGCCCTAATGTGGGGTCCGAACCGGGGCCATGCTGCTCAGAACGGCATCCCAAGCCAACTCTTAACCAACGCGCCATTCGGCCGGCCCAGTCTGTAGCTTTTTGAATCTGGCTTCTTTCACTTAGTATAACATATAAGAAATTCATTTATGTTGTTGCATATATCAGTAGTTCATTCTTTTTTATATATACCACAGTTTTAATCATTTACCAGGTGAAGGACATTTGGGTTGTTTTTAGTTTTTGGTGATTCTGAATAAAGCCACTATATACATGTGTCAATTGATCTGTATGGTGAGTAAATGTTTAATGTTATAAGAAACCGCCAAACTGTTTTCCCAAGTGGCTGTTCCTTTTGCATCCCTACTTGCTTTATATGAGAGGTCCCTTTGCTCCACATCCTTGTCAGCATGTTTTAAAAATTCTTTTAGATATTCTAGTTGGTGTATAGTGATATATCATTGAGGTTTTCATTTACATTTCCCTGATGACTAATGATGTTGCATCTTTTTTGTGTGCTTATTTGCCACCTATACCCTTCTTTCAAGAAGCGTATTGTTAATCTTTTGCTCACTTCTTTTTACTGGGCTGTTTATTTTATTATTAAGTTTTGAGAATCTTGATATATTCTGGATACAAATCCTTTATCAGATAAGTGTTTTACACATATTTTCTCCTAGCTTTATGGTTTGTATTTTCATTCTCTTAATAGTGTCTTTTAAAAAGAACAACTTTTAAATTTTGATGAAGTCCAATTTGTCATTTTTTTTCTTAGGGACCATGCTTTTGGGGCTGTAGCTAAGAAATATTTGCCTAACTTAAGGTCACAAAGATTATTTCCTATGCTTTCTTTTAGAAGTTTTATAGGGAAGTTAATTTTTATTTATTTATTTATTTATTTATTTATTTATTTATTTTTAGCTGAGCCATCCTGCTACCTATTGGCAGCTTAGCGGCTGCTCAGCTCGGGCTGGCCTCGAACCGCTGTTGCTCAGAGCTCAAGCTCTTGAGCGAGCTCTTAACCAACTGAGCCATTCGGCCGGCCCCGGGAAGTTAATTTTTAAATGAAAGAGTTATTATTAAGGGCAAGAGTTATTATAATTACATAATACCAACACTAATGATAATACATATTATGACTAGTATGTAATTCTAGTAAGGATATAGGTATTTCTATTGGCATTTCTAGTCATCATTTCAGCAAGATAACATTAATTTTAGAGATAACATTTAAGCATTGCACACAGGGTTGATCACCCTCTGAATAGTCAGCATTTGGTCAGCTGCACAGTTAATCTACTCTTGGTATGACATTATACTTTCAGGAACAATGACTTTATTATGTGGGTTATAGAGGACCTCTGGACTATGGATAATAAGAGGTGCTTGAAAACTTTTATATGAATGAACTGGTTAACTGACAAAGAATATAAAAATATATATAAAAATTCATTCTTTTAAAATTGCTTAAAACATCTTTATACTCTTTGTGATGAAAATAAAGAAGACATATCTAAGCAAGCACAGTACACTAATACTTAATTCTTACTTCTTTTGCTTCCTTTGACTTCAGTCGGTCCAAATCACCCAATCTCATCTTTATTAGGTGCCCTGTAATTTCAGACATCCGCCGCTGATCTGAAGATAAAAAATAATAAATCTCATTTTCCCTCTCTCTCTCTCTCTCTCTCTCTCTCTCTCTCTCTTTTTTAGCTGAGCCATCCTGCCACCTGTTGGCAGCTCAGCGGCAGCTCAGCTTGGGCTGGGCATTGAACTGCTGTTGCTCAGAGCTTGCACTCTTCAGCGAGCTGAGCTCTTAACCAACTGAGCCACTTGGCCAGCCCAATAAACCTTACTTTTTATGAGGATGAGTTATAACTTTTATTTCTTAAAAGTGATTGCAATCATCAAGAGTTTATGAACCTATCATTTGGTATTACTTTACAGACACATACATCTATTTATCTTTGAAGAATTTTAGGCAGCAAGTGGCGAAATGGCTCATACATGGATACGCGTGCTGTGTTTAAGATTACTGTAAATCAGTGTAAACATATTCTGTCATCTTCAGAGTGATAGTAGTGGGCAAAAGTCAGTCTGAAAGACCTCAAAAGCATAGATGCATAAAACAATACAATATCTACTGGGATTGCCTAGTAATGAAATTGGTTGATGCCTAAGGAAGGGAATGTGCTAATTCTGGGCCTTATTCCACTTGGAACTTTTAAAGACTTCAATGTACTTAAAAAAGGTTCCTATCATTGTTATTTATATCTAATTTGTACCCAAATAACAAAACTTACCGTCTTCTCTTTGTGCATCCTGGTTGAATCTCAAGGATCTTGTGCTATCCCACTTATTCTTCTGCATACTCACACTATTAAAAAAATTAAACAAAAATCAGCATTGATGCTTTACGAGTGGATATCTGATTGGACTCAGAAGCAATACTCACATGAAAGGAGACACATCTCTAGAAGTTGACTAAAAAAAAGTAGACAACATTAAGGTCCAGTTAGAACATATTTACTGCTAAGTGTTATAGTTAATAATAAAAGAGTTTATATTTATTGAGTGTAAGGTACTGTACCAAGAGCTTAACAAGTATTATTTCATTTAAGTCTTGAAACAACCATGTGAGACAGGTGCTATTGTTAACTCTATAATAAAACAGGTCCTGAGAAGTTAAGAAACTTGTTAAAAGAGAAACAGACCTAGAACTTGAACCCAGCTTTACTTGTCTGATCTGGAAATTCCAGCTTATGCATTCTTTTAGAATTCACCCATTTGTGTGTGTAACACAACATGAAGATGAATGTACAATGCATCCAATGTAATTGCGTAGAACTTGTCTCAACTCCAGCCTTTCATACATTTTTTGGAATCCATGGTTTCTCTTTTAGCCAACTGTTATTACTGTCCTCTTATTCCTACCTGGCTTTTTACCCCTTCTTTTGAAGTCATAGGGAAATAGCAATTATTTTAAAGATCATAAAATATAATTTATTTAAAAATTTAAAAGTCTATCTTATTCAAAAGTCTATTTGCTTATTTTATAGTTTATTTACATGTCTTATTTTTTGAATAGGTAATGTTGGTTCAAAATTCAAAAGGTACAAACAGAACATATAGTAAAAAGCCTCTGTCCCGATAAATTCAGTTCTCTTCCTTCAAGGCAACTAGTCTTATCACTTCCCTGTGTAGTTTCCCATGTATATACAAAGAAATTCATATATATTCCACTCTACACAAATGGTAGCATAATAAGCCACTATATATATACTGTTCTGCATTTTCCATTTTTCACCAGTTGATTTATCTTAGAGATCTTTAAAATCCATCTTTATAGAGCTTCTTCATTCATTTTGCTAGTACTCCACTGCGATATTCATTACTCTTTTTTCAGATTGTTCTTGGCTATACTTGCTTGTTTATTTCTCAATATAGAATAATAATAGATAATTTAGAGTTACCTTCTCCAATGCCTTTTCTTTCTTATGACCACAGGGTGAAGACATCTGCTTTTTTGGTTGTTTGGTGAACTTCTTTGGCTTCTCCTTTTTCCCTGATAACAGAAAATCAATGTTATGAGCATAAGTCCCATACATTTCTCCAATGTCCTAGTGACTGCCAAACAATAAAAGCATTTAAAAAGATTGTTTTTTAAAACTAACAAATTATCTCTGGATAAAAAGTAAATATGTGGAGAAGCCAAACTGAAAGAGCTAAACAGGGGTTCATTTTACTACTTTGCTGCTTTCTATTTGGTGAAAATCTTTGGGGAAAAAAATGAGGGCAATGAATTCAAAGTTCCAATGAAATTATATATAGAAAAATGTTGGGGAAAACTACACACATTTATTTCTCTCAATCTAATTTGAAAATAAAATCATCTCCTAATTCCAAATTTCTTATATAAAAAATAACTATAATCCAGAAAAATACAATTTGAGAATGGGAGAAGCGAAGAATTCACAAAAAATCTTTAAAATGTCTTTTGCTCAGGCAGGAGGTGGGGCTATGAAGGTAAAAATTGAGGTAGGACAGAAATGATCTTGGGAAGAAGCAGATTTGAAACAAATTGTATTCTGCACTGGGGGGATTCCTGCAGTCAGTATTCTGAATTTATTCTGGCTGACAGTTTAGTGGAGAAAGGAGACAGGAAGGAAAAAGGAGGGGAAAGAAGTATTACTCTAAAAACAATGTTTGAAGGTAAGGATAATACGGTACATTAGTTTTTTTTTTTCTAATGGGTACATTTGTTTCCCAAATATCAATTATGGTAGTGTAAAGAGGTTGCACAACTCCTTCCAAAGAAAACAATGAGTAGAACAGAACAAAAATATTATAAACAACCATCTGTAGACACTGGCAAATAATCAAAGGTAGGTAGAAATTGAATGTTTACATTTGAAAGATGAAAGAGGTAAGAACTGGGAGTTTGTGGCCTTCTTGCCTGAGGGCACTTCCCAACTTCCCCAGCTCCTGGGAAAATTATAGCCTTATGAGCACCAGGGAGATGAGTTCAAAGAAACAGGGAAGCTGGAAATTTAAAGGGGAAATTATAGAAGCAAGAAAGTCACATTAGACCTGAGATCTGGAGTATGCACTCTGCCCAAATTCCTAGCTAAATAAGTGTTAAACTATGCAAGTGTATGGGAGACTCTAGGAAGCCCAGCTAAAAAGGCAAGCAGAAACTAGGGTGGGGTATTGATCCTTATAAAACAGAACTGCTCTTGGTGAGACGTGGAAATTTCTTGTGCCTTTGACTGAATGCTTTCCCCAAACTGCAATAGAGCTCGAGCTTCTGACAGCAAAAGCCTTATTGGCTTGAGGTGTCAGAGGCCAAACATGGGACTAGAAAAACAACTAGAAATCTATAGGAGGCCCATAAAACAAGGGAACCACTAAGCAAGTAAGCCCTCAATCTGAACATAAATTCTCCAAATCCTTGGCTGACCACTAAACTACATAGGCTGGTATGATCCCTGGGGTGCGTGCTAAAGCAGCATTAGTCAACAGCGAAAAAAACCCTGTGTAGATAAACATCATGCAGTGCATACTATGGGGAAGACAGGTTTTGCAATTTGGGTCAGACAAGCAAACTGCCTACTAGAACAAAAGAAAACCAATAATCCTCAGAAGGAAAAAACAGATTTCAGAGTTGCAGAGAGATAATCTACAATGTACATTTTTAACCAAAAAGTTACCAGATAAAGAAACTGAAAAGTATGATCCATTCAGAAAAAAAACAAACATTTAATAGAAATGGATTCTGTGAGGTCCTGCATGTTGGATTTGATAGACAATGACTTCAAAGCAACTATTATAAATATGTTCAAAGGAATAATGATATTATTGAGTAAACACATAGGGAATCTCGACCAAGAAATGGAAACTATAAAACCAAGTGAAAATTCAACAGCTGAAGAGCACAATTGAAATTAAAAAAAAAAAAAAGTGGGCCGGCCGAGTGGCACGATGGTTAAGAACTGGCTTGGGACACCAGAGGGCCCCGGTTTGGATCCCACATATGAGGGCCAGTGACACTGCCCTCCACAGCTAAGATACTGAATAACAGCTCAACCTGGAGCTGGGCTGCCTTAAGTCGCTGGCGACGGTGTAGGCTGCAGCCCCTGTGGCAGTGGGTTGCCATGGGCTACCGTGTGTAGCCAGCAGCCAGCGTGAGCGGCCAGCAGCCACAGTGAGCGGCCGTCCAGAAGCCGGCGACTGATCTGCCTCACCCGGGAAGAGTGCAATGATGGTGCCAACTTGGGCCAGTGAAGCAATGTCTTCCACAACTAGACTGAAGAACAAAAGGACAGCAACTTGTCTGTTCCCCTTCCCCCAATTCCCCACCGCTGTTCCCATCCCCCCAAATCCCCAATAAAAATCTTAAAAAAAAATGCATTAGAGGGGTTCAAGAGAAAATCTGAAACAGTAGAAGAATGAATCAGTGAATGTGAAGTTAAGCACTAGAAATTATACAATCAGAAAACAAAGAAAAGATTGAAATAAAAGAAGCAAAACCTTAGAGACCTGTTAGACAATATCAAAGGTCTAACATATGTGTATTGGAGTTCTAGAAGATGAGTGAGAGAAAGGGGCAGAAAAAAAATACTTAAAGAAATAATGACCATAAGCTCCCCAAATTTTGTGAAAAACATTAATTTACAGATCCAAGAAGCTCGGCAAATCCCAAGTAATATAAACACAAAGAAAACCACATCTAAGCATATCATAGTCAAGTTTCTCAAAGTCAAAGATAAAAAGAAAATCTTGAAAGCAGCAAGATTAAAAGGGTACTTTACATACAGGGGAACAATTATATCAATGACTGACTTCTCATCAGAAACAATGGAGACCAGAAGACATTGAAATGACATATTCAAAGTGATGAAAGAAAAAAAATAATTGTTAACCAAGAATTCTACATTGAGAAAACTGTACTTCAAAAACAAATTGAAATAAAGAAATTTTCATGGGCTGGCTGAGTGGCTCGTTGGTTAAGAGTTGGCTTGGGAGTGTCAGCTCTGAGCAGCAGGGCCACCAGTTTGGATCCCACATGGGCTAGTGATGCTGCCGTCTACAGCTAAGATGCTGAACAAGAGCTCGACCTGGAGCTGGGCTGCCATGAGTCGCCATTGACAGCATAGACTGCAGCCCCTGCTGCAGTGGGCTGCCGTAAGCTATAGTGAGTTGGCTGTCAGCCAGCATGAGTGGCCGGCGGCGTGAGCTGCTGCCAGGAACCGCCATGAGCAGCCATCCAATGGCTGGCGACCGATCTGCCTCAGCCAGGAAGAGCTCAATGATTACAATACCAACATGGGCCAGTGAAGCGATGTCCTCCACAACTAGACTGAAGAACAAAAG